ATATATATATAAGAAATATGTAACTGATTTTCGTGTACCAAGGCCCTTCTTCTTGCATTCAACAATACTTAGAAGCTTACCATGGCTGACCAATTGCTTGACGATCGCGGCACCGATTCCAGCACTTGCACCCGTGACCACTGCTACCTTTCCTGCCCATCTGTCCATCCTTGCTATTTCACGTACAGGTCGCGACTGTTCGACGTAGCAGCGGTAATAAGATCGCTTATAAGTCTAGAAACCGATAGGTAAAAAGGCATACGAGCGGTTAAAAATTGATCGCGACTGGCGCGGCGGGAAACTCGATAGTCTCGCGGTAAACCCATACCCAGCCTTCAGGCCGACATGTCCTCGGCAATTAATGTTGTTTGCCAGATCCCTGACATCCTGTCTGCGATCTATATTTCCATTTTCATACGATCCTCTCACGGTTATTCTTTTCTATAATATAGACAAGTTTCTATTTTTACAATATGTTTTATAGGGAGAATTTAAATAGTTAAGTTACCATTCATCGATGAAAATTAAGAAAGAGGGAAAGAAAGAAGTTTTGAAGCGATAGAATGACAATCGTTTTATTTTCTTTTTTTCTTTTTTTTTTTTTTTTGGATGAGTTGAGCATTGAAAAATAAAATAAGAAATGTCCATTTCTATTTATTGCTGAAACAAGAAATATTTAAGCATATCTTGGGACCGAAGGTGTTTATATAATTTCTATAATTATTTATGGCAACAAATACATTATAAAAAAAATTTTATGTAAAAGAGAATTTATACGTACTCTTTCTTTTAACAAATAATTACCTGAATTTTGAAAACGTACATATATACTAGTATGTAATATGGTGGATATTTAAAAACACTTGTCATACGTAAGATTTTATTATTCGTGACTTGATAAGACTTAATGAAATACTAACGAGAAATGATGGAACCAAAGACATTCCTCATTTCAGTAATAAAGTGCACACGTTTTCTATATTTGATTAATATGCCAAATCACATCTGTACACGTTTAATCCCCCTCCTGCTTTCAAACTCTTTCGATTTGACGAAATAATAATTCTAGAATTCCAATAATTACTAAAAAAAAATAAGTAAGACTAATAGTTACTAAAAATAAAAAAATTCTTTGCTTCCTTCCTCCTTATTCTCACAGACAAGGCAATCACACTAAGAAACAATAATTACTTAGATACTACAATTACATTTTCTGTAATTCTTATAGCGATATTTGATAGACTATGCTTCTTCAAGAAATTTTTCTTCTCTTCAAATTAAAACTTGAATGATTTCGAGAATATAGATGTTTAGATGAGGTCGAAGTGATCGCGATGAACTTCTTTGCACAACTGCAGTGACAACAGCGAGGTGCACGCTGTGCGATTAGGCGCGTAGCTGCAGGACGTTAATTGAGAAGCTCTTGTCATCCATTTGTTATTGTGCTTCTGCGGTAGATGATGGGATAACAGTGTGCTTGGTATTGATTTATTGTAAGAATATATCAGTCATGACGTAATGGAACATTTCTTGCTGGTTAATTGTATACGTAGATATAATTGCATTATAATATACGTGTTACATTGTCTTCAAGCTAACGTTGCTTTATTTGCAAAATAAAAATGAATGAGGAAGTAATTCATTAGCAAATTGAGGCTAACGAGAGATGTGCTTTGGATTGCGAAATCAGTTATTTCATTGTTTGAAACGTGCATTGAACCACTGATTTGAAGAAATTTGAAGAATTACTGGACTGTCTTATTTGCTATTATTTACTTCATTATTCTATTACTATATCATTTGATTAGATTCTCTTTTCAACTATAATTGATTAGAGTACTAGGTTTCAAATAAAATTAGTTTTTTTTTTTTTCAAAGTAAAATTCTCTTTTATAGGCGGAAGAAGAAAAATTACAGCTCATGTACCTATTACATTACTTTTTACTTTGGTACAATTATTTATTTCAAATATTTATTCCTTGCAATACATTGCAATGGATATTCAAAATATCTTTTCTATTTTTTTAATTAAAAGAAATGTCAACAAGTTGTTGTGATCATCTTTTAAAACAAACTCTATCAATCAATTTACTCTGCAAAGTCATTCTTTAAAGTAATACAGAATAAATGTTCATAGGATTAAGTTTTCCCTTCTCAGATTTAAAAAAGAGATACTAAAACTTGTTTTAGTCATTTTTCAAATAGCTTATTATGTTCATAGGTAGATGCTAAAATTAGTCATTTAAATAGATTACTTCAATTATGTTCATAGATAGATACATTAATGGAATGATCATTCTTACTTACATCGTCACAAAAACTACTAAAAATCTTAATAATGTAAATTATTTGACTAATATTTGATTTATAATATTTGAATGATATAAACTGTCATACAGGTTCTGAATTAAACACTCCACTTCAAATCTACAAGTTATTTATTGGATATAAGGTGCCTACATTTCTGAGTACTATACACTTAAAACTTTGTATCG